ACTGGTATTTTTAAAACCTGCTGCAACCCTTATGTGAGTAGAGCACGCTATGTTAATCTAAAGTCAGATGGGGCAGCAGCTTTTAAGAACTAACTTATTCAGAAAGGTATAAGCTTTCATAAGCTACAGCCTACTTCATCAGCTGTAGAGAGCAGGGGTACTAAATAGGTTGGAGTCATTTTAAATGCAAAGGATAAAGAGGAGGATAGGATGGCAAAGGGAGCTGAAGAGATTGAAGACATAAACAAAGCAGTTACCCCAGCAAGGGTCATAAGGGTTGAAAAAAATTAGTCCAGGTAAATGGGATAAGAATTCAAGAGTCTCTATGGAAACTGCACTTAATACAAACCAGCTTGTGGATGGCTTCAGCAATTTTGCATTCAGATTGTTTTTTGAAATTTCATAGTTTAACAACAGGTACTCCAAGGTACTCAGTGATGGAATGACCACAGAGGTTGAATTGTTCTACCACAAGCTTTGACATCCTTGTGGAATTGGTGTCAGATTGGTATCTATTCACTCTCTCATGTAGGGATCGCCTACGCCCTTCCAGCCTCCAAGGACATCCATCTTGCAGACTACCTACCTCTTATTCCGACCATGCTACCAGGCCGTGCTTAATTCCCAGATGCCAGGTGTGCCCCTTCATCACAGACCATACCATCTTAGATTCATAGATGCTAGGGTCGGGAGGGACCTCAATAGATCGAGTCCGACCCCCTGCATAGGCAGGAAAGAGGGCTGGGTCTAGATGACCCCAGCTAGATGCCTATCTAACCTCCCCTTGAAGACCCCCAGGGTAGGGGAAAGCACCACCTCCCTTGGGAGCCCATTCCAGACTTTGGCCACTAACTGTGAAGAAGTTCTTCCTAATGTCTAGTCTAAATCTGCTCTCTGCTAGCTTATGGCCATTATTTCTTGTAACCCCCAGGGGCGCCTTGGTGAGTAAAACCTCACCAATTCCCTTCTGTGCCCACATGATGAACTTGTTTCATCTTAGATGAAACAAAACTGATTAAAACATCTGGAGTTCATTCACCTGCTTCCAGGGCCTCTGCATTTGACAGGCAGAACAATTCCTACATGAACAAATGAAGAGACACCAAACTATCCATTCCGGAAAGATAAAAGCCTGTGGCAGAATACTTTACCTCCCCTTTTAATCTCTTCAACCCACCTTTGCCTCCCTCAGCAGTGCCCCCCGCTTTGCCATCCTATCCTCCTTTCCCTATCCTTTGTTTTTAAGTTAACTTTATTCCTTTCCATTTAGTGCCCCTGCTCTCTGTAAGTCCATTTATAGCATCTGATTCCTTTCTGAACAAATTGTCACCCTGCCTATCTCAACTACAGTTACTCTGAAGCAATAATGCAGGTTCCTTATTCTGGTACTTGTTTTTAGCACCTTATGTACTGTGTATACAATCGCTTTAAGAATTTACAAGCTAACCACCACAGACATGAAGAAAATAAGGGACAAAAATATGTATGGTAGTGACTTGAATTTAAATTCATGATATTGGTTTTCCTGCTTTTTCATCCAAATACCACCTCTCACAAGCCAGAAATTGAAGAAGCTAAATATTACCTCTACAGAACATTCCATTAAAATTAGTCCAAAGGGAACCTTTGAGTGTCGGGGAGCAGTAAAAAAAAAAGAGTCTTTGAACAACAATATGGGTGGAATAGAAATGAGTGACTTGCAGTAGTACTTCATACTCTGAATGCAAGGTATGCTCAGTTCTACCTATTCTGCTTCCACCAGTAATGTCTAACTGGAACAAAAGTGAGGGAAGATGTGATGTGAATTACAGGTTGTTTTTCCATGGCTGTAGTACTTGTAGGAGAAAAAAATATTATTATAAATAGATTTTAGCCACAGAAATTTTGAAATATTTACCTTTTAGTTGGTACATTTGGAGGATCAAAAATATGCTTGTTTTTTCACAGGCATGACTAAACTTAGTACCTCAAATACATTTTTATAGGTGTTTTAGAGGAAAGGCTTAATCTTTTTTGGGATGGTCTAACAACAGAGCGTATCAATGTAGCTTTGAATTCAAGTGCTACCTGCAATGCTGCTAGCTGCATGCAATACTGAATACTGATCAAGCAATAGATTTTCTACTCCTGAAAAGTAAGACCTAACAATGAATAAATATAAATAAAATAGTAAGGTGGGTGCTATGGCAGTCTGGCAACCCTCCCCGCCCCCGCCCCCCCCCCCAAACGAAAACAAAAACAACCCCAAAACCAAAAAAACAAATGAAGCTACTAGCAAAAAGTAGCTATAAAGGGTGAAGATTGTAAGTGTCATACTGGGTCAGACCAATGGTCCATCTAGCCCAGTATCCTGTCTCCAGCACTGTCAGAAGTGAATGCTAAAGAGCACGCTGAACCAGATCTATCCAGAATGATCTATCCCCTAATTCAGTAATCTCCCTGGCATCTACCATTGTAGATTTAGAGATACCAGAGAAAAAATCTTCAACCCTTCTGTTCAATGCTAGTTGAAGGTTAGTTACTGTAACAAGTAACTATGGATTTTGGAAACAGATTGTCAGGAAATCCTGACAATACATTTCAGAGAAATCCAACTGCTTAATTCCTTTCCCCCATGCTGTCATGCATACAGAACAAGTAGTAAGTTAAAAAACCTTTTTCTCAGAACATTCAGCACTTCATTTTATTTGGGTGTTGGACTAGGTGACCTCCTGAAGTCCCTTCCATCCCTAATTTTCAATGATTCTATGAAAAATGGTGTCAGTTATATATAATAGTTTCAGAAAAGTCCTGTATTATAGCATTTGGCAGTAGTACTAATTAACTGTACAGTCTCCTCCCTCTGCATATATCTAGGCAGTGAGGTATGTGCTTATAGAACTTAATGCAAAAGTCATCTTGCTCTAGAATTTGGAGAAATAAAACTAGCACTTTGCAAACAGTGCTCCCAACCTTATAGCTACTTAATTCAGCACAAGGCTAAGAGTGACAGCAGGAACAACAGCAGTACAAAATACACGGAATAGAAACTATTCTTGACTTTTCTTGGAACAGGTTGACTAACACCAGCTTGTTTGAGGAGTTCTGTTCATCCTAAAAAGTGCAAATAAATCATTCGTGTTCCTACTAATGAGAAGAGCACTCTAAAAATATGCTTCATAGTCTAGCTATGGCAACTGGGTACAGTAGTCTTTGTCGTGGTATTGAACACTTCACAAACAGACTAAAGTGAATTAAAGACCTGTATATTGTTCTATAGGGAATCACTGACAGAGCCCCAAGAAAAACCTCTCAATAGGTATAAATTGTTGTTGTAGATTAGGGGTGGGCAACTATTTTTGGCCACGGGCTGCTTAACAAGGTTTGGTGAGCTGTCAAGGGCCACATGGATAGCCCTGCCCCTTAACAGGTGCCCCACCCCCTGGCCATCATCTTGGGTCCAGAGGTCCCACCCCCAACCCCTGCCACTGGAAGTCCCTCGCCTTGTCCCCTGGAAACAGTCCTTTTGGGAGAGGGGAATTGCCATCTTAGAACCAGAAAAAAAGAACATCATACACTAAAACTCAAGCACCTACTAGAACATATTTTATTACAAAAAATATTTTTGTCATGATTTGTTTGTGTACTGTGCATCAAGGTGATTGCATAACGCAAAAATAAATTCTTAGCCTTTTATATTGGGGGGGGGGTATGGGGGGGAGTGTAGCTGTGTGGGGGGGGTATAAGGTATGTTGGGGGTTGGTGTGGTGTTTGTGGGGTGTGGGTCTGTGACTCTAGAACACTGTCCTCTCCTGCAGACAATACAGACAAGGCAGGCATTGCTGGGGGGTGTGTCTGTGTATGTGGTTTGTAGGGGGTGAGGATCCCCCCACACTCCCCCTATGGCTGGCCAGTGCTGCATGTTGCAGCAAAAAGCGCAGCCCCCGCTGAGCTGAGCCGAGCCAGACGCTTTCTCCACCCCAGCCCACTCCAGTACCTGGGTCTTCCCTCCTGTGCCCCGCGAATGCAGGGAGCACCACAGAAACAAATGGCCCGGTGGGGGCTGTGTTCCTTGCAGCGCTGGCCAGAGCCAGGCAGCAGGGCCGAGCAGAGTGCCCCTCCCCTGCTGTTGTTGTCCCCCACTGCCTGCCAGGGCTACATGCCATGGCAGGGGAAGAGTACGCCCCCCATCCCGCCCCCCCCTCACCCACACCCTGCCCACCTGAGCTCCATCCTACTGATGCCCCATGAGCATCAGGGGCATGAGCTCCATGCTGCAGCCAGCCTCAGCCCCATGCTCTGTGCTCCTGCCCAGCTGCAGCCCCTC